CCAATTGATCTTTTGGCGACAAGCCTCCTGAAATAAAATCTTCGCTGTTACAGTTATGGGACCAATCATTCCGAGAGGGTCAAAGATCCCAGCCAAGATTCGCAGTGTGTTTCGCTTAGTCGCAGGTAGATCTTCTGCGCGCTTGGCGATTGCGGTCAGTTCGAGGGTTATCGTATCTTGCTCAAAATCCCATGACAGACCCAGTACCTTTTGGCCGTTACTTCCCATCTTCAGGCCTAGAGATGACTTTGCGTACGTGACATTTTCAGCTGAAACCGGGTCAAGTTTCACTTCATCGATCAGATCTTTTTTAATTTTCTCTCTAACACTCGGGTCGTTGGTCAGCCATTTTCTAAGCTTGAATCCCCCGTCTGCCATCCCGTTGACAGTTTTACTATACAAATCGACAACTTCACTCGACGAGGCTCCGCCCCCCACGAACTCGGGGTCAACTGCCATAAACTTCGAAATATGATGCCTCAAGGTTGCATTTAGCAAAAAGGGGGACGCATTCAGTCCAAACACAACACGACAAAATCGATAAACCACAATCTTAGATAGGTCCGGGGGGTTTGCTAGCCACAAAAATCGAAGACAGTCTCTGTCTTTCTTGTCTACCCCAACATTGAGAAAGGCCTTCTCTATGTCCCCCACGAGAACAACTCTGTTCTCTCGAAACCGCAACAAAATGTCAAACAACAATGGGTTTAATGACGGACCCACATGTAAACAATCATTTAAAGAGGTGCCCGTTTTCGTCGCCTTCGACGATGCATCGTACACGATCCTTACCTTCGTTGTCGTGGCTTCTTTTCTCACCACGGCTTGATGTGGTAAATAATGTACCTTCGGGGCCGCTTCTAACTCAACCACCCACTCTATTACTCCCGTACGAAACTGTTCGTCAATTATAGCTGCATATTCTGCGAGAACTTCGGGCTCCCTTTCCAGTCTCGCTACTTGGCTTCTAAGACGACGCAAGCTTGTGGTATAATTGGTCGGTAAATCTGGGCATCCTTTATTCCAGGGAAGCTTCACTGAATATCGATGCCCATCAAAGGAGATACTGTCCCTGTATTCTTCATACACCCCCCTTCTCGGCTCCTTGATTCCTATGACTTCCAGATCCCACAATCTGTTCACATCAACGTCTAAGCTTTCCTTGTCCTCCGTTTTCACCAGGTTGATTTGTACGGGTCCCAGCCCACTTGACTGACTCTTCATTGGACCTGACAGAACCCAACCTAATTCAGTTTCCACAGCGACTGGTTTGTCGAGGCCCCCCCTGATTGTACAATCTTTCTGAAAGCTCCACAGGTAATCTGCTCCGACCAAAATGTCGATTTCTAGCTCTCCCGCCCCCATACACACATCCAAAACCACAATCCCTTAAGGTGGGGATGCTCACCCTTTTCAAGTTCCACATGACTGTTTTGGATGCTGGATATTTCTGGTACTACGTACGCTTTGATTGGGATAACCTTTTGGCCGTCAGTTGTGCTTACCTTGACTTCGACGACATCTCTTAGACGCATGTCCTTAGAACGCTGGCCAAAGGTACTGATTCCCAGCCATGCTTGCCTGATACTGGCAAGCTGCGCGAGTTGGGCAGCTTTAGAATTAATGAAAGAGCGATGGCTTCCAGTGTCAAACAACACATGAGAACTTACCCTTACTTACTTACAACACCCTTACCCGGTACGGCTCGCCCACCCCACGGATAACTGCACGCGCGGTTTGCAACGCAACTCGCCCACCCGTTCCTACATGTACACTGCTAGGACTAGTAGCAATCGGAGTTTTGTCTTGCCCATTGGGCGAAAACTGAAATTCGGCAACAGGAGGCACTTGCTGCGCATTCCTAACATCACACAAAGAAACATGATGACCCGCTTGCCCACACTTGTTGCATAATACATCAATCTTACAATCGCGGGCTCGGTGGTCCTTTTTCATGCATTTAAAACATCTAGCAAATTTATAAACAATATTCTCACGTTTCCTTGGATCTTTCACTCTCTGACAGTTCTCATGTGCATGTTTGCCCAAACAGAAGGCACAGTTCCCATTTTCTTGTTTTGTAAACAGGGCGTTGGCTGTCGCGCCCCTTGCTCGATTGTCCTTCCCATCAAGTCTATTGGAATATGAAGGTTTCGAGGAGGTCATTGCATAAAAATGATCCTCTCTCAGTTCCAGCTCTTTCAAAAAGGTTTGCAACATTCGCTCCATCGACCAGGTTAAAAACTCCTCTCCTCTTGTGATCGTCAGTCGAGAACTCTCCGGCAACTTTTGCATAATGGTGGGAACAACTATCGTCGAATATGTGTTCTCCTCTACTCCGAGAGCCTTCAATCCCCTGAAATGAGACTCGTACTCATCAAACAACCTCCTCAAGCGAGGAATGTCTCGATCACTGTAAACTCACGGTGGGGCCAAACCACCCCATCGATGTTGCATTAGAGGCGCGCAATGGAGAACGGGTAAAATCCAATATGGCGGCCAATTTACAATTTGCAGAAAGCCTTCGACAACCAATTCAACGTTGCAAACTTGATCTATTGGGCAGGGTTGATACTGGCGATGGTATGAAATGGATCAGTAAATTTTTCGGAGAGCTAGAAGCTGCTGTATCCGTGTTGGATACCAAATACAGTCATCGTGGAGGGAGATTTTCGACCGTGCAAAGATTAGTACCAGCAAGAGGGATGGTTGCAAGGTCCCTGCAAAAGATTCACGCCAAAATAATTCGCCGCCTGAGTACAAGGCCAAGACTTGCCAATCCATGGCGTGGAGATTTTCAAATGGACATGCCGCAAGAGGTGTTTGAATGCATTTCCAAAGACCTTATGCAACGCACAAGCTTCGGTCAACGATTTAGGGAAACAAATACACAAGTTGTATACGAGATAACAGATATGCGAAAAGCAAAATATTTATTCGCGAGGATGGATTTAGATGGTACAGAAGTCGATCCTGATGTGATTTTAAAAAGGCGTATGGCACCTGTGCAAAATAGCCTTGAGAGGTGTGAGGTGTTGGTGTCGAATGAAAAGCCAATGGAGCTCAAATTTAATAAGCCAAAGGAGTTGTTTGAACTGAAATTTCATTACGGATACTGGAATGCAAGTGGCGTCCCGCAGCACTGAACAAACTTGACTTGACAATTTATTACATATAATACAATAATTAATTTCTTATTACTCAATTATATATTTCTGTTGATATTAAATTGGATTGATGTTAGGCCTGGGTCAAACTTAAGACTTCACATGAACCAATCTCATTTAAGTTAGGTTTGAGCGATTTTATTTGGATTGGCTATCCATTGTGAAGAACGGCTAGAGTTCAGTTTTTTGCTGGATCACCTTTGAATTAAGTTTGGAGTTTGACTGGGCAAGAAAACATAATTATGTTAGGTCCACCTAAGTACGTTATTTGACCCGGGCCTAAAAAAGAAATAATCTAAGTTACTTTGGGGTTCAAGTTTTGTTTATATGTATGTCTATAGATTTCTGCTTGAGGTACTACTAACAAGTGTCTTCAAGTCAACTGCTGTGTTAGTGGAAAAATTTGTTTAGACACTGCACCAAACTTGAATAAAGCTTTGAACTTAAACTTAATTCTCATAGAATTGACTGAGTTCAGGAGTGATCTTTCCACTAGCAACAGTTTGCTTGATGGCCTTCATCACATCACTTGTGCAAATCTCACAGCCTTGATTACCAGTGGTTTTCTTCGAGAGTCCACAATGGCAAAACCTGTCGTCACAATCGCGAACTCTCTTAGGAATATAAGAATCACTTATGTTCCTCTTCTCACAGCGATAGGCAATGCTGTAGGGATCTTTCTCTCTCAGCCATACCATGGAGACAAACTCATGTTTGAACACAGTCCACCACCGTAAGCTCTTTCTGGCATTGCATGTGTTTTCCACATACTTGGCCAATTTCACGTGCTTTGCCTCTCTACCCTGCATTGAATTCAGGCCCAATCCATAGCCAAGCTTCTGATACAATTTGCTAGTGTGGTAGGGGATGGCTACTCCTACTGTCCACACGGTAGGAGTGACGTCGGTAAGCAACAAACTGTTTGCGTTGAAAAATTGTTGGCACAAAACCTTTAAATTTTCAACTTGCTCTATGCTTATCTCAACTCTTGAGTAAATGGAAACTGCATCTCTCAATTTGATACCAATGAATGACAATGTGTGCAGTTTCAGAACATGTCCCTTTGAAAGAGTGGGGATCTTCAGAAGTTCCTGAATCAAAGTGGCAAATTGCCAACAGAAGTACTTTGATTAAAGTCCTGTGAATCTATATGAGAATGAAATTCCCTTCTTCCGCTTCTCACTGAACCACCGCAGAAAGGCCTTGTACAGTCTCCCACACTTGAGGGTGTCTTTCAGGCACTTCAGAAATGTAAGCAGGGGGCAACTGTCTGGAAGATCAGAAACTGCTGTTGCTGCCTTGAGGTGATTCTGGTGTGTGTAATGCATTACAATAGCAAGTGCAGTTAAAAACCAGCTCTGCCAAGCATTGTTTGTGTTGTGTAGAGGCTCAGCCTTGAGTAAATCCACATACTTTCCTAATGGAGGTACAAATTCTTGTCTAGACTTGTTTTGAGCGATGAATTTAGTGACCTCATTTCTTTGTTTTCCCATGGGATCGCGAAGTTTTGACTTCAGCTTCACAACTCTCTCTGCCATGACCAGTCTCTTTGTGTAATCCCATGGTTGCCATGTAGCTTAAAGACCACCAATAGTACCACCTATGGTTCTCTTGCTTGTTTGATTAACATTAGCAAATGGCGAAAAATAGGTTGCACAATTGTTCAGTTCTCCTGAGTGGGATGACATCCACTTCATGTCTGATGGGATTAATTCAAATTTGAACACAACTTGTTTTCCTCGTTCAGTGGTCAGCTGCTTTCCTTCTACTTCTTCCATTTCTTCTCTCAGGTGGTTTGTGTATGACTTCATGAGTGGATGGTCTTCTTCGCAGTTAGCCACCCAGAATTAAATGGTTATCGTTACAGCTTTGCACTCTTTGTAACAAGTTCAGGAAACTGACCAAGTATGCAGTGGCAGTATCGTCCTTACCAAATGGTGCACCATCTGCCCCCACTGCCACATACAGCACCCCCTCTTCTCCATTGAACCACTGTAGACAGGGGTCTTTTTCATGGAGTGTCAGGTACATGTCAGCGAGCCTCAAAAGGAAAGGTTTAAGTGGCCTGTACACGCCGGGAACTGATTCTGTAGAAAGCTTTTCTGCTAGAATCTCCAAAGGTAAAACCTCACCAAGGTCAATGTTCCTTATATAACTCATCAGACTTTTGTATGGAAGGATCTTGGGAATTTCACAGCTTTGCATAAATTGTGATTTCTTATTTTTACCTGATTCATCTGGAGATTGTTTCATCACATCACCGCTGTTTCGTATGTTAGTGTACTTCCGCTTGCTTACCATTCCCCCTTCGTACAACACACGCATGCTCCTAAGCTGGTTTTGTTCACTTTTTTCATATTCTTGAACTCTCCTTTTAACAATCTTCGGTATAATATCATTCATGCAAACTGCTGAATTGGTGATATAAGTTTCCATCACTTGTTTTGAAGCTGTGCCAATCAATGTGGTCCATAATCCACCTTGCACAGATTGGTCATCAGAGACTAACATGTTGCTTCCACAATGTATTGGTCTTAGTGCAGCGACGGTCTTTTTTTTCCTTCGTAATAGCTGGAATCTTGATAGGTGCTCAAGCTTCTCACTGCAATCATTCTGCCCTTTACTGCTTACATGTGGTTTCCGAGGCTTTTTGGCTTGGATTGGACATTCATTTTCATTTGCAATAGCTTCAAGTTCAGTGATCTGTTATTGTTAATAAATAATTTATAAATGGATCATTAATTTTTAATAGTATAGAGAATCAGAAAATGAATTTTAAAAACTATTGATTCAGGAGATCTAGACTCAGTGACCTTAATTGTTTTCATGACCAAATTTGCTTAAGTCACTAATTAAATAGTGACTAATTATAAAGGGAGCTGATGAGAACACAATTATAACTGGGGTTTAATCCTATACATTTAAGCTTGAACATTTCCTATAATCCTACAATGGAGTTGGGAGAAGTAAACAAATTTTCAATGCAATTTCTGTTTGGTGATTGTTTCCTCAATATTCTTCTCATAACTGTACATGAATTGATCTTATGAGAACAAATTTGATGTTGATCATGCAGTCTTGAGACTTAAAGGAATATAACAGCCAAGTTTGCTATAAAACAACCTCAAGCTTGAAAATAATTTATTATGTGTTAAGAACACTGATTTCTAGCAGAGGGTTCAGACCTTTTAGAAAATGATCCATGGCCCAGTTGAAGGGAGTCCATGGACCTGGAATCAATGTTTTGTAATGACCCAGACTACAGATTGCATACAGATTGCGTGGAGACTACAAAGGCTATAGTACCTCCATCCATTAGTGAAGCTATTGTAGTCAACAGAACAACTGTGTTACACAGATAATCAACAGCCTGGAAGTCTGATGGCACCCCCCTCCCCCCTGATATATCTCACAGTGGCCACAACATACAAACAGAGAAGTTAATTGAACAAACCTTTCGTTTTTCGCCTCCGTACAATTTCTTGTTTGTTGTGTAATTTCGTTCCCAATGCGTCAATTTTCACTCTTTCAGAAGCCAGTTGCCTTTTGAGCTCTAATATTTGTGCATCTGTGTCAAGTAATTTATGAATTTCAGCATTTACCCGTTCCTTCTTCAGCTGTTGGTACTTTCCGATCGAAAATCTTGGTTTCTTGTTACTTGCCGCCAATGGTGGACTGAAAACCCCATGATTTATTTTTGCCAAGAGAAGACAAAAGCGACGAATAAATACATATTTAATGAACACAGAGATCGAACTAACATCGTATCATTTCAGAATTTTTATTAAAGTTCGTTACACTCCGAAAAAAGCCCCAAGAAAATGATTACCTGAAACGCTCGCCACAGTCACTTGGCTCTGCATTTTCGCCTCCTATCATATCACTTTTTCCTAATTCATCGAGCTAGGATACACTTAATCGCACACCGACAGAAAGCTAACGAACTCAACTCTCCCAAAGTGACCGCCAAAACTACATTGCTCGTACCAGTTTCCCAAAATATCGGCTAAAGCTCGGCCTATTTGGGAGATAAATCCAATATGGCGGCACCCGGAAGCCTTTGCAGACTTTTTCGGCGCCATTTTGAAAAAAACTACCCACGCGTTTCGCGCACATAGAAGGGGTGGTCTGGCCCCACCGTGACTGGCGGCATGTTGAGTAAATCTTTTACATGCGCTCGCTGGATTGCTATATCCTTTCCATAGCGTTTCTTCAGAGCTTGGACTGCGGCCTCATAATTTACCGCAGTCAGCGCAAACCCTGCTATCGTCGACCTGGCAGGCTCCTGTACCAAACTTTTCAAATAAGAGAACTTGTCTACCGCGGACAGGTTGTCAGTCCCATCAATAGAGCTCTGAAAAGAATCCCAGAACTCCTGCCAATCTTGTAATCTGCCGTTGAACCTCTTTACTTCGAGCGTCGGAAGCTTGGCTCTCGTGTTATGCGCAGGGTTCGTGGGCTGTGGGTTCTCGTTTTGAGATGACGCTCCAGTAATCGCTGGGCTAGAATGCATGCTTGGGTTCAGAACCTCCCCCAATCGCAACACGACTTGGTTCAGTTCTCCTCTGAAGCGATCGCTTTCCTCGATTTCTCTTTCAATTAGAACGTCCAGATCTTCCGAGTCTAAACCTCCAATCAAGTCTAGGATTTGATTATCCAGTTTCTTCAACGCGTCTACTTTCTCCTGAAGGGCTTTTAAAGACTCCTTACCCCACTGCCTGTCTGACACTCCACTTTCATCGTTAAGTCTTTGCTTTACTTGGTCTAGTAACCTTTTAGCGACGGTTCGCTGTCCGTCCCTAATTCGCGTCTTCTTATCGACGCTAGCCTTCGCCTTTTCAGCCATAGGGAACGCCCTTCTGTTCCTTCGAAACGTTCAGTAATTCTGGTACTCTGCTCACACACACTACTATCCGGCTCGAAGGACCACTGTGTTCGGGAATATCCACACACTCAATCAAACACTCCGAACTTGGACTGTATATCTTTATTTCCAGTAACGATCCTCGTTCACTACACCGTACATTCATTAATTCATTCTGCCTAATCATAACAACTCTCTTTTCTTATACACAGTCTTGGCATTTTTGTTATAAGATATCTATGTGTCATATTCTTATCACATCACGCACGTAACATTCAAAAGCAATTAACTTGTCAACTTAATACATTCCTTATCTCTTTAAAAATACACGCGATCAAGGTTTCCATTACTATGTTTAGGGTAAGGCACGTTGTGTTGCGTAAGGCGCTATATGTTTCCCAACAGATATAATTGCACTCAAAGCGTACGCATGGAATACAACTTATCATAGACAATCCAATTTCTAACAATTTTCTGGGGGGACCATGCCTCCAGAGCGGCATTGTAAGAGGGTGCTAATGGGGGTACCCAGTTCTCAGTTAACTACTAATTTTTCGGCCAAATATCAGTTAACTACTAGCTTTTTGGCCAATTCTTAGTTAACTATACTAATTTTGGTTATCTATTATTATAGCAGTTCTAATACCTTACGAACTACAAATTACACAGGAACCACAATTGTCACTTATAAGTTACAAGGTTAATGCGCCTTATGCTGGACTTAAAAGATTGTAAGCTATAGGTTTTTCTTTGACTTTGCTGTCCAATCTAGACCATGTGTATTGTCCATAGTACCTCATAGAATGTTTCCCTTAATGTAAAGTATTAAATCTGGGTATATGAAAATCCTTACTTCTTAAGTGATACTTGGATGACTTAATTAACACTGACTCAGAAGAGAGCAATTATCTAACCGAAGAAGTAAAAATGGGTAAACAATTGCTATAAAGGCTCCTATTAAATGATTGTTGCTGTAAGTACAAATAAAAAAAATAGATTTAGTCGTATCACCATTAAATGACACCGGCCTCATAGATACAGACGCACCCGAGTCACGTACTGATCTTCCTGACCATGCATGTCCTGCTATAAACTACTTCAAAGTCACCTTCTTCGTCACCTTACGTATCTGAATCGGTCATGTACTCATCTGGTTGCTGTATGTCATGTATCTTGTTGTTGGCCTAAGTTTCAATCAATTCCAACAGGTGATGGGGAAACAATGTCAATATCAATATCAAACTATAGTCCTAAATCACAAAACTGGACCATCATTTTTGGAATTCAATTGGTGCAAAAAAAGTTTTAGCCTTTTTAAAAAGATAGCAAATAGCATGACATAGTCCCGTGACGCTGGTGGTAAAGTTTCCGCTTTATCTTGAGTTGATTCGCTTCTTATAGCCCTCTGTCAATTCAAACAGGTCGAAAGTTATCTATCCTGTCCCTCATCGCGCAAATACTACAACTTTAACATGAATTTCGAATCCTGAAACTTTAGGGAAATTAAGAAAATAACGTGTGGAAGTTCGCGCGGTTTGTCCCAAATGGCAAAAGTGGATAAATATCAGGACACAATTACGACTCAGCTTGAAATCTGTCATCTATCAAAGTCTGGACTCAGTGAAGCGTAACTAATACTGTAAAGGGCCGGTCATTTTGACGTTACGAAAAATCAAGTAGAGTAGATGGTAATTTTCCCACAACATCGGCATAAACTCGGAAAATTTTGGCGGCCACCTCGTTCTTGCCAGTATCCATCGCACAGTGGACCAAGAAAGAAACATTGTAACGAAAGGCGCATGTAATTGGTTTGGAGACTGCGAAGAACATACATGCAGTCGGTTTGTAAAGTCACCGTGGGAATAGGACCACGTAAGAATTAAAAATCGTATAATAATTTAATTACTTAATTCTTTTTTTTTTCTTTGAGAAGACAAAGAGAAAAGGGAAAAATTTTTGATAATAATGATAATGACGACGACGATGATGATGACGAAGTACTGTAATTGTTACTGTTGTCATAAAAATTCAAGACCATGATGAACTCAGTAGTTCACTCAATCTTTTCTATTTAGCAATATGTGGGGATGTAGATGCAAACATAAGGAAGTGATGGAAAAAAGTATGAAATGGCTTAAGTTAGATCCTGATAAGGAAGAAGAATGCGATCCTCATCACAGTGCTGCATGCAGCTTACGGCTTACGAAACAGGTAAACGATCGTTGTTGGCGGTTATCTACCTCTCCTTGTAGATTCCTGCATTCTCTTTGTTGATGATGTAAACAATTGACATCTGAACAAACACCTAAAAGGTCTTGGGATATCTAAACACCTTTAAAAGGATCGGCATTTGGACCCTTTCAGGACCAAAGGTACACACCGTGTTTACTAAATTACGCGCTGCGGCATTTATCATTCCTATTTTGCGACTCGACTGCAGCGCTCATTTGCGGAATGCGATTATTTTGAGGGCGGCGTTCCTCATAGATTTATAAAAAAAATGGTTCCTTTCGTGGAAAAAAATCGGCTTGCTAACTTTCGGCGGTCCGAACTACAAAACAGTGCTGGGCAGAAAAATGAGTTTCCAACATTGTTTTAGGAAGAGTGTCATGTTCGGGTTGCGTTTTTTTGCTTTCACGGCGGGGCTTGAATAGGGGCGGCACTTTATCAAGGGTGATATAATATTGCGTCCATAAGGTATGTCGGTTTACTTAAGATGTCACTTTCCAAAAGTGCCAAAATGTTTTGTTTCAGACTCTTGGCGAACTGTAGTACAATATTGACAAAAAAAATTTAAAGACGCCTTTTATTCTATCAGGCTGCTAAAAGAAACTTTCGCCCCTGAGACCCCACAAACAGACAGGCTTGCAGACGCTAACTGGACGCCTGGATGTTGGAGTGGGATTGGAAGTGGTAGTTCGCAGGAAGACGCACATACAGACGAAATTCCTGAAGTATCCGATGGCGTCGTTGCTGATTTCAACGAGTGAATGACGAAAATAGCTAAACATTCAAAAAGGGAAGACTTCATGCCACTAACATTCCAACTGTCCACGACATGGGAGGAAGCAATACCGGATGAAAGAAAAACTTGCATAGAGAAAGCAAACAAAAGCATGTGAAGTAATCTGCAGTGTTATAGCTTTGAAAGACGGCGAAAAGCCTTTTCAAGCGATACGCCAGCCTACCGCGAACGATCTTGATGAACCAATAGAGGATTTTATTGCTTTGATGTCTGCATATCGAGGTGCCATGACAAAGAATGTTAAGATTCAAATACTCAGCATCTACGCTTATTGGTATACCATGAAGTTGTCACAGAAATTCCACGAGCCTTATGAAAAGGTAAGTTTGAGACAGATAAATAAAGCGAGATTGCATGAAAGGAAACGAGGACCTGGGTCAAATGTCCCGAAAGTATTCAGCCATCGAGTACGTCTGGACACAAGCAAGTCGAGCACTTTACAGATTTTGCAAACCGTCCTTATTTTTACCAAGACGTCGCCTTGGGAACGCGAACACTGACCTTAGATGGGGGACGCAAAATAACGATGCCAAAAGTAATCCGGAACGCGACTAGATCGACCATGATTATGTAGTACCTTCAACATTGCAAAGAAGAATAATTTGAACCGGCTAGCCGCTCAACCTTTTTTCAGCATTCTCAGCTTGAAGTGAGAGAGGCTTCACAGCAGAAGTCTCTCAGTGGTCTTGACAACATTGCAGCAGAAGGGGTCGCATCTTTTGAGCGGCTATTGAGTATTCTGGAAGAGCTGAATCAGACTCGTGCCGACAAAAGAAGAGTTACAGAACTGGCAAAGAGATTGAACGATGGCAAAAGATACCTGAAGACGGAGTTTAAAGTGAACTGTTCAGCCGAGGAGAGTGAGTGCCCAGACCACTGCGGAAAATTTGCGTTAAGCGATCCAGTTGATCCATGCTTCAACCATCAGTCCACACACACACAATATGGTGTGTGAACAATGCGAACAATTGAAGGCAACGTTGGACGAGATGGAAGAAAGTATAAAGAAACACTTTAGCCATCTTTACAGCCAAAACAAAAGCATGATCTTCTTTACGATTTTGAAAGATCTAAGAATGGCATTTTTCTTTGGATATCTCATGTCTTACGCTCTGTTAACCAAAAATCTGCTAAACAAGAAGCCCTCCACTCAGTCCTTGTTGTTATTGACTGGGCGATGAAATTTCTTCAAATGAAATACAGAGAAAAACAAATTGAATGGTTTGGTAAAAGAGGCCTTAGCTAGCATATAAGCAGTGTGATCTCAAAAGACCAAGAAACTCAGAAAGCTAAGGTCCTCATGTCGTATGCCTATTTATTAGATTCGTGTTGTCAAGATTAGTATGCGGTTATAAAACCTTTTTCAAAACATCAAAGTAAATTTTCCAAATGTTAAGCAGGCATTTCTACGTGCTGACGAGGCTGGCTGCTACCATTGCAATCAGCAGCAGTCAAAGATATTGGAGATCGAGTGGGAATTACAGTTGCACGTTATGATTTTTCAGAACCCCAGCAACGAAAGGTTGTTTGTGACAGGATGCTTTGTCCCATGAAAGCAGCAATAAGAAAGTATTGCGCGGAAGGCCATGACATCATAAACGTAGGAGGAATGCACGAGGCGCTTAAGGAACGGCCTGTCAAAGGACAACAGCGGCTGTAGCCATTTTGGATGAGTCATTCAAAATTCTTGAGGTTCAGAAGTTAAAACAATGAGTTGCACAACTTTAGATACGAAGAGAGTGGAAAAAGAGTGTGGAAAGCTTACGCTGTTGGGGTCGGCAGGCTTATCCCTTGGCAATCTTTGTACATACGGCACCAGGGTTGCACAGATATATCATTAATGGAGGGAAAAGGATTCTTCACCAACACAGAAATAAGAGACCTTCATCGCCTAAGAAAGTGTCAAGCAAGTAAAGACGACGTTGAAATTGATGATCAGCCATCGATGTTTTTGTGCCCTGAAGAAGGCTGTAATTGCACTTTTGACTCTTTCTCCGAACTTGAGTTACATACAGACGTAGGAATACATGATACTAGGAAGTCGGAAAGTCTTTATGATAAAGTACGGAAAAATTGGGCTGAAACATTTTCTTCTATTGAGAACCAGAAGTTAACAAGCAACAAATCCTCTACTGGTCTGACTGTTAACAGCACAAATTCTCGTCTAAGTATCGGATGGGCTCTTAACAAAGGTAGAACTGGCGGAGTTCGTTTTTCTGAGAACTTAAGACGGT